ATCACACATGGGTTGCCTGCACCTTCAGACACATCACGTTAGGGTTACCTGCACCATCAGATACATCACACATGGGTTGCCTGCACCTTCAGACACATCACGTTAGGGTTACCTGCACCATCAGATACATCACACATGGGTTGCCTGCACCTTCAGACACATCACGTTAGGGTTACCTGCACCATCAGACACATCACACATGGGTTGCCTGCACCTTCAGACACATCACGTTAGGGTTACCTGCACCATCAGATACATCACACATGGGTTGCCTGCATCATCAGACACATCACGTTAGGGTTACCTGCACCATCAGACACATCACGTTAGGGTTACCTGCACCATCAGACACATCACGTTAGGGTTACCTGCACCATCAGACACATCACACATGGGTTGCCTGCACCTTCAGATACATCACGTTAGGGTTACCTGCACCATAAGACACATCACGTTAGGGTTACCTGCACCTTCAGACACATCACGTTAGGGTTACCTGCACCATCAGACACATCACGTTAGGGTTACCTGCACCATCAGACATATCATATATGGTTTGCAAACCTTGAAGATCCGGATAAGATTTAGTCTTCCGCAACCCATGCTTGTCATGATAGGAGACTAACGGGATCGGCTGGTCAGGTTCGCTGACTTGGTTGATGCATGTCATCGTATCCAAATTTCGTAGATCGATGCTCATGATATCAGTCACTGGATTGTCTGGTCCAAATATTGACAGACCCCCGTCATATAGCTGGGATATTGCTGAGTGCGACGTTAAACAACAAACAAACGTATGGTTTACCTGCACCAACATGCGTATGACGTATGGGTTGCCTGGACCATTAGACACTTCAGGTATTGGTTGCCTGCTGCATCAGACGCATCACATATGGGTGTCAGAAACATCAAACACATCACATATTGATGACCAGCACCATCAGACACATATATGGAGTGCCTGCACCATCATACACATCATATAAGGAGTGCCTGCACCATCAGACACGTCACATTTGGGTGCCTGTACCATCAGACAAATCACATATGGGTTGCCTGCACCATCTGACACATCACATATGGGTTGCCTGCACCATCAGACACATCACATATGGGTGCCTGTACCATCAGACACATCACATATGGGTGCCTGTACCATCAGACACATCACATATGGATCGCCTGCACCATTTAGACACATCACATATGGGTTGCCTGCACCATCAGACACATCACATATGGATCGCCTGCACCATCAGACACATCACATATGGGTTGCCTGCACCATCAGACACATCACATATGGGTTGCCTGCACCATCAGACACATCACATATGGGTTGCCTGCATCATCAGATACATCACATATGGGTTGCCTGCACCATCAGACACATCACATATGGGTTGCCTGCATCATCAGACACATCACATATGGGTTGCCTGCACCATCAGACAAATCACATATGGGTTGCCTGCACCATCAGACACATCACATATGGGTTGCCTGCATCATCAGATACATCACATATGGGTTGCCTGCACCATCAGACACATCACATATCGGTTGCCTGCACCAAAAGACACATCACATATGGGTTGCCTGCATCATCAGACACATCACGTATGGGTTGCCTGTACCATCAGACACATCGCATATGGGTTGCCTGCACCATCAGACACATCACATATGGATCGCCTGCACCATCAGACACATCACATATGGATCGCCTGCACCATCAGACACATCACGTATGGGTGCCTGTATCATCAGACACATCACATATGGATCGCCTGCACCTTCAGACACATCACATATGGATCGCCTGCACCATCAGACACATCACATATGGGTGCCTGTACCATCAGACACATCACATATGGGTTGCCTGCACCATCAGACAAATAACATATGGGTTGCCTGCACCATCAGACACATCACATATGGGTGCCTGCACCATCAGACACATCACATATGGGTTGCCTGCACCATCAGACACATCACATATGGGTCGCCTGTACCATCAGACACATCACATATGGATCGCCTGCACCATCAGACACAGCACATATGGATCGCCTGCACCATCAGACACATCACATATGGGTGCCTGCACCATCAGACACATCACATATGGGTTGCCTGCACCATCAGACACATCACATATGGATCGCCTGCACCATCAGACACATCACATATGGATCGCCTGCACCATCAGACACATCACATATGGATCGCCTGCACCATCAGACACATCACATATTGGTTGCCTTCACATATCGGATACATGAAATACTATTTTCCTTACACACCAACACATCACATATTGGTTTCACACACATCAATGGTTTTAATCTGTACTTTCAGACACATCACATATTGCTATACCATCACCTTTAGACACATCACATATTGATATATGCACCTTCAAACAAATCACTGACTCCAAGCTGTACTTTCAGATAAGTATATAAATCTTCAGACCCATTATACATGAACATTTCTTATCTGCACCTTCAGACAGATATATGTAACAGACTCTTATCTGTACCCTCGGATACGCCATAGTTTGATTTCGGACTCATCACAGTGTTGTTATCTGTACACTTCATTCATTGTTATCTGTACACTTCATAGACTGTTATCTGTACACTTCATAGACTGTTATCTGTACACTTCATAGACTGTTATCTGTAAACTTCATAGGCTGTTATCTGTACATTTCACAGACTGTTATCTGTACACTTCATAGACTGTTATCTGTACACTTCATAGACTGTTATCTGTACACTTCATAGACTGTTATCTGTACACTTCATAGGCTGTTATCTGTACATTTCATAGGCTGTTATCTGTACACTTCACAGACTGTTATCTGTACACTTTACAGACTGTTATCTGTACACTTCATAGACTGTTATCTGTACACTTAATAGACTGTTATCTGTACACTTCACAGACTGTTATCTGTACACTTCACAGACTGTTATATGTACACTTCATAGACTGTTATATGTACACTTCATAGACTGTTATCTGTACACTTCATAACCTGTTATCTGTACACTTCATAGACTGTTATCTGTACACTTCATAGACTGTTATATGTACACTTCATAGACTGTTGTCTGTACACTTCATAGGCTGTTATCTGTACACTTCATAGACTGTTATCTGTACACTTCATAGACTGTTATCTTTACACTTCATAGGCTGTTATCTGGACACTTCATAGACTGTTATTTGTACACTTCATAGACTTTTATCTGCACCTTCAGAGACATCACACATTATCTGTACCATAAAACTCGCCCGTGAAGATCCGGGTTAGAATTGTTCTACAGCAACCCATGCTTGCCGTAATTGGCGACTAACGGGATCGGGTGGTCAGGCTCCCTGACTTGGTTGATGCATGTCGTATCCCAATTGCGTGGATCGATGCTCATGATGTCAATCACTGGATTGTCTGGCCCAGACTCGATTATTTACAGACCGCCGTCATATAGCTGGCATATTGCAGAGTGCGGCATTAAACAATGAAACAAACATCATTGACTGGTATTTTTAACAACCGACAAGGCAGCAACAACAGTCCTTAATTGCGACGTCAGATCTCTGTACTAAGTTGCACATAAACACGTCAAATGGCAGTTCAACAAGACCTAAAGAGCAGCTTTCAGGAACCAGTACAAAGCATATTTGCTTATTCAGGGACGCGCAAGGAAAGAACATTGACATAAGTTGTCTTCATAGAAAGGTTCACGCATATATATGTTCGAAGAAAAGACATTTAAAAATTAAAGTGTATTAATCATTTTTTTCCATTTTATAAAAGTTTTTAACGTGAACATGAAAACGATATGTTCTCGTGTTAACATTTCAAAGGGTAAAGAACTGGGCAACACAAACATGTCTGAACGTAAAGAGACGTCTCTCAAACAGAACGGTTTTGCAGCGGAAATACAGTTAGGAAAAAACGTAAATACATTCGTAAGGCTTTTGGTAGGGAAAGAATTTCGAAGAAATCGAGTTCTGGCGTCGGGTTAAGTGGAGCGCTTTGGCGAATGAGGGTGATACATTACCTTTATATTAAACATACATTGTAGTATAAATAGACGAAGAACATTAGCACGTAGATTAAAAGAAATATTTCTGAACAAGCAGTTTCAAAACATATTCCACAGAAACAATATTATTCACATTCAAATCTTGAACCTTTACTATTTTGAAACGATAGCTGATGGGTACTATAACGAAAGAACAACGCTATGACACGCTAGATAATAGTGTCTGTGAGAGCATTGGTAATACAGGTGAACCTGGCGTAAAACACTTCTTGGTTGGTTTGTTGTTGAACGCCGCACTCAGCAATATTCCAGCTATATGACGGCGGTCTGTAAATAATCGAGTCTGGACCAGACAATCCAGTGGTTAATATTATGAGCATCAATCCACGCAACTGGGATCGATGACATGCATCAACCAAGTCAGCGAGCCTGACCACCCGATCCCGTTAGTCGCCTTTTACGACAAGCATAGTCACCTTTTACAGCAAGCATGGGTTGCTGAAGACCTATTCTACCCCGGAATCTTCACGGGTCAAAAAACGCTTCTAAGTGGGGCGACAGAAGAAAGTCAATTATACATAAATGATGGGTATTCGATACCAGCAATAGAAGTAAATTATTTATGCCGTTTCTCAAGCATGACCAGGACTTTGAAGAAAACCATATTGACAATATATGACCTTAATCCGCGCTCATAGAATCTGGCATATTTCGGGATCATTTGTGTGTATGGGATATACAACATGCAGATGTGTTGACTTTACAGTTGTTGATTATGATATAATGCATAGCAACATCGATCGCCTGAATGAGCATTAATGCTTTAACTAAATGCTTCACGTAACGGTGGTGATGCGGCCTTGTGTTATTTTGTTCTTGATGTTGAAGGGACCAGACGACCATAGGTGCCGCAGTTGAGAACTTGCTCTGGACTGCACGTGTACGGCAACTGACGCTTGTGCTGACGACCGCAATGCGTTGTCGTGTTCTTCACGTGTTTTTCATGAGTCTCGTGTTTTATCTCCCGTGGGCAAAAGGTGGGGACCCCTCAAGAGAACGGGCAATCTTGAATCGTCTCCTTAACTCAACGTATGATGCGACGATTAGACCCGAGGCAGCGGAAGGTGAGATAAAATGTTATCGTCATTTTGCCAAAAATATAGATGAATTATCAAATATTGTAGAGTGGTCAATTTTAAACTTTGTTATCCGAGTACTTTGTGTAGAAATAGACATTTTTTGTTAGTTGAGTAAACTTTGTGCGTTTGGTGCGTTCAGCTTTTAACAGTATTTCAGTTATAATTACATAACGGCGAATAGACTTGAGGAATGATAATTGTTTTTAGTAAAGCAAATTTGGCGGAGGCCGTACTGTTTAAAAAACACAATAAGAACAATTTGATGATGCTGACAAACCAAAGGTCATATTCAAGGGTTATTTTAGCACATGGTCATAGTATCCCAACACGACTAAAGGAGGTAACTCTGCATACGGAATGGAAGAACAAACGGCCCACTTTTTGTACCAGGGTACATGGCGTAGTGGGTCTTTCACCCATCGACTATACTTGTAAATTAGATTTTGACTAAATTTATCACTTTGACTTCCTACACTGATGGTTTACATCCAATATTTATCTCTCAAGGGAGTGCCATGATAATTTACTCAACACGTTACTTTTCAGAATGTCCAGTGAACGACATTTTAATGATTGGTGCTTTACAATTATAACTGTCAAGTAGACCATGTGCCCATATCCTTGCAGACCTTATCAGTGCAACAATTTTCGCATTCATTTATAGTCGAGTAGGAATATAGGGTCCCCATGCATCCGAAAGATATATTTTTTTAACTTACGTTTTTTAATCGTTATAGTTGTTACTGAATGATTTTTGATGTTCCCAAGGCGAAATATTGTCCCATAGTGTCCATTGGTAGCCATATTGGATTTCCGGCGAAAATCTTTAATCGGTATAAATTTTTAACTGTGCATGGTACATAAATATAAAAGACTACTTTTTTGGTGTAATTTGAGCATGAAGAAGCGATTGAAAGGGATATTGTCATATTTTAATAAAATATGAAGTTTGGTATATTAAATCACGAAAAACCTGAAAAGCTCAAAGACTTGCAAATATTTATCTCCACGCAGAGCAAATTCATTTCATTTGCATGAAATCTTGAAGGAATAGTATTTCATTTACTTAAATTGATAGCTCTTCGCCAAAAAGTAACAAAGTATCAGTTTCAATAAGTCACAGAAACCAAGAAATAATAAAACTGCTTGTGCGAAAGAATGAGCTACACAAGCTGCATCCAGTTCTGTGATGGTAAGACCAAACGTGAGAGTTTTATTTGTCTATTAGAACTTTAAAGTTGAGTCAATACACACAGCCATGATATTTCGAAGTTCAATGTGGGCAGCATATTTTTGTTCTGATTCCCACGACTTGCATAACTGATCACTCGCTTCTCTCCGAGTTGGATTTCGTCCATCTTCCCGAGGCAAGGGAGTTAACCGAAGACCACAGGGCCGACCCTCTGTGCAAGACGCTCTACCTTTTCTTGCAATATTACTTGGGGTTACGTTTCTTTTGCGGTTCAGTATATTACTAGAAACTAATATCTCTTACAATTTAGAAAATTTAAAGTTAATTCCGAGTTTTTAAGAGTATATTTGCTTAACCCTCTCATTGGAGCGGCATATGACTTTGCGTGATAAGCTCTATACAAAATCATCCATGCCTGCTGTTAACCCAAGAAATGTGTTGCAATCGAGACCCTTTTTTTCAAAAGCGCCCTCGTGTTTGAGAAAATACTAATGTAAAACTTTTAAACACCAGAAAAAAAGTTAAATATATTTTATGATATATTCACCATTAGGACCTTAGCCAGATATAGTTGAGCAATATCATATTTGTTTATATGAATCCGAGGATGACGAGTGTGTTTGATCTTGTATGTCAGGGATTGACGACATATACAATGTCTGTTTGTTTTTGTATATCCGAGGTGAACGATATATACAATGTATTTGTTTTTGTTATCCGAAGTTTACTTTCTATTAAATATATGCATGATTCTATATATTTCTAGGTTTGGCAATATACAATGTCTACTTCTTATACATGTATATTGGTTATATATTTAATGTTTGATTGTCTATATCCGTAGTTTACTGTTTATATAATGTTTGTGTCAGTCTTCCCAGGGCTGACAAGATAATAATTCAGTGTATGTTTCTACAAGGCAAAGCAACACAGGTGCTGGTGGACATGACCTTGACCTCGCTTGGACCTGTGAATGACATTCATATGGTGAATATTATCCCATTAAACAATATAATGATATGCTCATTATCTTGTCCAGGTTTATAAAGTAAGTCAATTAATAAAAAGCTAAAATAATTGTCAATCATAAGAAATCTGTACTAAAATTGAACGATACCGACTAAATTATAAGCATACGTTTATTAATCACTATCAAATAGTGATGATACCTGGTGTTCGCGAAGTCTTCGGATCCTGCCCGATCAGGGGGCACACATCACAAACACCGTCTCCCCGAGGCAAGAGAGTTAACTGACTGAAAAAGTCCAGTTTCCACCCTTCCCGAACTAGGCTGGTATTATGGAGATAGATTTTGGCTGGATTGACGTGTCTATGCATAGTCCAAACAAAATCGCGCAACGAAATCGAAATCCGGTTCGTAAACTGCAGATTTCGGTCGATTGCAGGATTTGCAAATCATGTGCACCGCCAACGCGTTGTCAACAGATATTTTTCAAATCTTTTCATGTTTTTAAATGAAGGTGTTCACGTGATTGGATGCACTTCGCGATGTAAGACTAGTTTTATCACAATATACATCTTGATTATCGTCTGTACTGGGCGCCGCCATTTTGTTTGATACAAAGGCAAGTGATACGAGAAGTGGAATCTGATTGGTCCATAGGAGAGGCACAGAAGGGATATAACTCGTAATAGCCACTGGTGGCGCTACGTTCGAGCCCAGGAATTCCAGCCTTGTTCGGCAAATTGTTCACTTGAAAAGGCTGGTGCTGCTGCAATGACGAATGATTTCTTACAATGCAAACTTACGACATGTCTCACGAAACAAAGATAGCAATGTCACACACATTTCATAAATGTTTTTTTTTTTTTGGCCATTATGAAAGAATATATCAATAAGTTGTATTTCCTTTTCATTGTAGGAATTCAGCGCCAGTTTCCTCCTCCGTCAGGAGTGGCGAGATCCACGCTTAAAATATGACGATCTAAATAAAAGTATCGTTATCAGTGAGAAACGTCTGGACTCGCTGTGGGTGCCTGACCTGTATTTCCCCAATTCCAAACGAGCAAGCAGACATGAAATCACAATCCCAAATATCTTGATTCTCCTGTCTCCTGACGGAACCATTTTGTACTCGCAAAGGTCAGTGTAGCTGTAGTGTTTGATTCTTAATAATGACGAACAGACTCTGGATGGTCCAGATATGTTTAATGTATAAAACAAGCATGGTCAATCGCCATATTACATCCCGAAGTTGCATAGCGCTCGGGAGCGTTTATTGACATCCGCTCTAGGGAGCAAACATTATAATGGAATAAATGGAGGCAGATAAATGAATACCACAGTAGCCCAATTAGATTTTATTTAGTATTTCATTATACCCAAAGGATGAGGGGCAAATGAAAGATAGAGGCCCATTTTGGCCCTATGGAAATGTCAAATTTTAAAGATGTGGAAAACTTTCAAATATTGACAATTTTCCTTCCCACACTTGCAACTTTTGGACTTTTGACATTACCAAATACGCAAATAATGCTAAAGAGAGTGAATACGGCAGATTTGTCGCCAAAGGCGCCGCAATTCGCTGTGTAGATTTGCGTCCCTTGGGCACGCCAGAAACCCATGATTGTGGGTTCGAATCCCGGTTCACCCCGATTATGTTTCTAGGTTTGTCAGCACCATACCTGTGCTCGTGGGTTTCACCGAAGTGGTAAACGTCTGAGACCTGCATCATATCGGGCTTTCCTTCCACATTAAGCTGACACGCCGCGATATAACTGTAATACTGTTAAAAGCGGCGTTAAACCCAACTCACTCACTCACTTATGTCCCGCGGGCTGACAAGGACAATTGTCATACCTTTTCTTTTCATGAGCATCAAGGCACACACAAACATATAGAGGTCATATCATAACCGAGTGTCATCGAGCATTGGACCCAACATAATTTATTCCAAAGATACTGTTTTTCATGTGTATGAAGGGGCCGATAATGTATTTGCGTTAGCCATTTGACATTTGACATTAGGCGCGGGTGTCTTGGAACTCTCACTTGTGACGGAACCTGTTTTAATGACAATGTTTTAAAACTTGTCTCGGTGTATAGAACGTTTTTTTCCACAACACATTCTTTAAGAACACCTATATGTTGCGCAAACAAAATCCAGACATGCATTCAGAAATGAAATGGTCAGTCCCTTACACCCGCATTCAAACTTCCACCGGTTCTATGATAATAATTTACGACTCTGCCACAATTGTGTTTGCCTAGAAACCTGGCGATGGGAAAATGTGTTTGTATTTGTCGACGATTTACCATTTTGATTTATGTTAGAGACGTAATTTTTCTTCCGCATCTGCTGCAAGACAATAATCTGTTTTGGAACACCACAACACATTTGTAAATCCTGGAGCAAATGATTAAACAATCGCAGAGGGGGGGAAATAACGACCACTTGTATCTTGTTTCAGGTTGTCTGTGACTTTAGAATGTCCAATGAACCTCATCAACTTCCCCATGGATAAGCAAACCTGTCACATCGACATGGAAAGTTGTGAGTAAAACTAAAGAAATTATATTTTGAAAAGTTTGGGGACATTCATCTTAAGGTACAATGGTTCTACAAGAGCGCGTCAGATGAACCATTGCCCGAACACTGATCCACCAGTATAACTGAAGGATGTGTGGGTACTTAAGTCAGTCAGATATCAGCTTTCTGAAACCATTTGGCTGAATTTCTTCACCACCAGGATTCGGAAATTTCGATCTTAGCACAAGAAACTCACACAGAACACATACATATCCTCAATAAAACACCCCTTTCGGTGCAGATGACATGGTCCTCAGATATACAATTTCACAAAAATATAATAGCTTTTATTCTTTTTGCATTGGGAACTTCCCGATTTCCTTCATTTTCGAGATACAGAAATAAGATGTGGTCTGTACGCTATGCTTACTCATACCGAGAATTTAGAAGCCTTAAGAATGATTGGCTGATTAAAAGATTCACCTGACGCGATCTCATATGGTGATGTCATTCACGCAGAGAGGTATCCCGTCAGAGACAAATATCTGAATATAATGAAAGTGTTTAACGATGCTGTATTTAGTTACAGACGAGGGAAAGTCGGGTAGGGTAGTGATTTCTCTCGTCACATCGAGACCCGGGTTCGATTCCAAACATGGGAACAATGTGTGAAGGCCATTGTTGGTGTCCCGAGCCGTAACATTTCGGGAATTTTGCCGGAAGTAAACTAACGCAATACTCACCTTACTTCTACTTTCTCGTTACAGACAGCTACACGTCAACAGATCTCTACTACGAATTTTCGACTGAACGGGATGCTGTAGAAAGACGCCCTGGGTTACAGATTCCGGACTTTCTAATAACCGGTGTGACACTGGGGACTTGTCAAAACAAATACGTTACCGGTAAGAAGGGGATAGGTGGAATGAGTGGGTAAGCTGGGTTTAATGCCGCTTTTAACAGTATACCAGTCATATCACGGCGTGTCAACTTAATGTGGGAAGAAAGCCGGAAGTGATGCAGGTCTCAGACGTTTACCATTTCGGTGAAACCCAGGGGCACGGGTATGGTGCTGACAAACCTAGAAACATAATTGGGGCGAACCGGGATTCGAACCCACAATCATAGGTTTCTGACGTGTTCAAGGGACGCAACTCTGCACAGCGAATTGCGGCGCCTAAGACGACTGGGCCACCCTCAGACCTTACATGTAGTTCACGCTTCCGCCAAACAAACTGAAGACATCCCATTACGGGTCACGTCGGAACGACCTTTCATCCGACCAATCAGAACGTCGCTTACCCGAATAGGAATGTGAGTGTCGAATGTGTTTTCTAATCATGCCACCTCGATAAGGTTAACACGGGGTATTCCAAACGACTGATGACGTCAAAAACGTCATCTATCTCTCAATGAGGTAAACATTTGAACGGAAGAGACTTTGCATAGCCCGTGGCACCTCTGCCCGTGGGAAGTACTACCATACAATCTCGGTCATCTATTGTACATTCTAGAATGTTCTTTTGTTCATTTTTGAAATTCTGAATCCTGACTTTGTCAAAATGTATTTCTAAGCCTAATCTGGAATTGGAGCCAGTTTTAAACAAGTATAGCTTGAGAAAGTCGATTTCTGATTTTTAACTCCTTAATCCGTCCATCTTCCCGAGGCAAGAGAGTTAACTGACTATTAAAGTCCAGTTTCCACCCTTGCCGAACTAGGCTGGTATTATGGAGTTAGATTTTGGCTGGACTAACGAGTCTATGCATAGTCAAATCAAAATCGCACAATGAAATCGAAATCCGATTCGTAAACTGTCATTCAGATTTCGGTCGAATGCAGGATTTGCAAAGCAATGTGCACCGCCAACTCGGTGTCAAGAGATATTTACCAAATCTTTTCATGTTTTTAATCAAGGTGCTCACGTGATTTGATGTACTTCGCGATGTAAGATCCGTTTGATCACAATATAGATCTTGATTATCTATCAGATGGTCTTGACTGGGCGTCGCCATTTTGTTTGAAGCAAATGCAAGTGATACGAGAGGTGGAATCTGATTGGTCAATAGGAGATGCACAGAAGGGACAGAACTCGTTATAGCCACTGGTGGCGCTACGATCGAGCCCAGGAATTCCAGCCTAGTTCGGTTGGTTGGTTGGTTAACGCCGCACTCAGCAATATTCCAGCTATATGACGGCGGTCTGTAAATAATCGAGTCTGGACCAGACAATCCAGTGATTATCGGCGACGTTTCGGAATTATAATTGGTGGTTTGATGCAAAAACAGATACCCGTGATCACTAATATGCTATTTTTTATATTCAATTCTTCGAGTACATATCCCCTATTCAGATTTCTAAACGCACAGTACATAACGCCGTGAAAGGTGATTTAGTAATGTATAACAAATGGCAAGACTTCCGATATCTACCTAATTTTCAGAGGTCATTTGCCTAAAATGACTGTGGACGATATCGCAGAACATGAAATTAAAAACTGTGAAGTGTATGCGTGAAGTAATTTTACAAACCTCACTTTAATTTCGAAGTGAGGGTTGAAGAGAAGAGACATATACACGCCTAATGATAATACGTACATCACCCACTCAAATTATGAATAACCCATATTTGCTTATTTCGTAGGAGCGTACACGTGTCTCAGGGCTGACGTCAGTATAGAACGAGAGATCGGCTTCTACGCTACACAGACCTACGTCCCCAGCATCCTCATCGTCGTGTTGTCCTGGGCCTCGTTCTGGATCGACCACGAGGCAGTTCCCGCCAGAATCTCCGTGGGGCTCCTAACAGTGCTCACCATCACCACCCAGAGCTCAGGTGCGCGCGCACAACTTCCCAGGGTTCCTTACGTGAAGGCCATCGACGTGTGGATGTCGGCGTGCCTGGTGTTTGTGTTTGCCGCCTACATGGAGTATGCTGTCGTCACGGTGATGTTCCGACGACACAAGAAGGTGCTGAAACAGGACGATTCATTATATAAGGTAAATATTATCAACACGAAACTTCACTTTCATGAACTTTCAGCTCCCGATGAAACTAAATACAATTTATTTACGGTTAAGCTTGAAGCGACCCTTAAATCTTTCCAGTAACCCAAGCAAATTTGATTAAAGTCGCGCAAACACAATTTCTTGTCTGCTGACTACTGTTATGATAAAAGAGAAACGATGAACACCCAGAGCTCCAGCCACATCCCAAACACGTGGAATGAAAACGGACAACAGTTTATGAAGCATAATCACGTTTTAATCTTCATTTTTTATATGACGCTGTCGTATCTCACTTTGGGACCCACCATTTTTTTACAGAGGGCTGGGAAGGGGCTCATATTTTTCACTGCTGCGAAACACACAATAGATTTCAATAGGAGGAGACCCGTGAAGATCCGGGGTAGAATAGGTCTTCAGCAACCCATGCTTGCTGTAAAAGGTGACTATGCTTGTCGTAAAAGCGACTAACGGATCGATGCTCATGATGTCAATCACTGGATTTTCTGGTCCAGACTCGATTATCTGCAGACCGCCGTCATATAGCTGGAATATTGCGTTAAACAACAAACAAACAATAGGAGCCGAACAAATTATTTTTTATCCACAACACGTTTCTCTTTTGGTCACGTCCAGCAAGCCCAGGTAACAATTTCTTCTGTGATAAAACCTGACGACAAATTATGTGATTTTCCTGAAACCGATTATTTTGTATCTGTTGTGAATTTAATAACGCTTTGATCAGTAATTATGTCACATCATGGTGTGTGTCTTAATGTCTGAAGAAAGCCCGAAGTAATGTAGGTCTTAAACACAGTAGGGTGCTGAGAAACCAAGAATCATAACCATGGCAAATCTTGGTTCGGAATCATTGCGATCGTTGATTCTTGCATAAGGGACTAGATTTATATTCAAGAAACATATGCAAGTGATAATTTTTTAACCTGTGCTTCATCGTTGCCCTACTTCATATAGATAACATGTGTTTTTTACACACATTCTCACATTAGCAGAGTATAAATCATGAAATGGTGACCCCACCAGGAGTCCGAAGTAAGAAGAGTCCCATTCTTATGGCATAATATGAATAGTTTCTGTTCACATAAATTTAGTTTCCTTCTTAACACAATCTCATTAAAATCAGATCTTAGTTTTCGCAACCGCTTAACAAAGATCTGAGTACATCCCATTACGGGTCACGTCAGAACGACCTTTCGCGAATTTTGACCGACCAATGAAATAACTGAAAAGAAAGCGACATTAGCCAATCAGAAGGCCACTTTCTCGAGCTTTACAACACTAGCTCAAACTGGCGACTACGCTTCGAAACTTATTTTGACGCATTCTCGATTAAAAAAAAACTGACAAGAAGAACATTCTTGAATGGCTTATAGATGGCCTAGATTGTATGGATATAATCATAAAACCCGTAACTGTCGTTCGGAATACCCCGTGTTAAATATTTCGTGGTTGCATGATTAGAAAACACATTCCAACTGTCACTTTCATGATCTGGTAAGCGACGCTCTGATTGGTTGGATGAAAGGTCGTTCTGAATTGACCCTTAATGGGATGTCCTCAGATCTTTGTTTAGCGATAGCGAGAACAAAGATCTGATTTTAATGAGATTGCTTCTTAACAATACAATACAGTGTGAGCAGGTGAGCTACAGAGCTCTTACATATTTTGAAATAAAGCTGACTGAGGGACAAGATTACAAGTAGAAACGATATTTTCCCCGGAGTCTCAATTATTGAGGTCACTACAGATTGTATACAGTCAGCTATGCGTTATTTATATCTTCCCAGCTTAAGCAGTTAACCAAAGAACCATCACGAGATGAGGTGAAGACCGGAAATGGTCAACCGGAAATGCGCAATGCTGACTACTCCAAAGACGCAAGCAGACTAGTCGATAACATTTCCAAATTCGGATTTCCGATTTCCTTCCTTGTATTCAACATCGTGTATTGGGTGTATTACTTACACCTCGCCTGACTGGACCCACGCAAGGCCATCTGTCATTTGGTTGAATGGGTTGACAGCAATGACACACTAAGACTGCAGCACTGTCACGTTCCCGACGAGGCCACAGGCTCAGAGTTTGTATCGAGATTAGATTGGATTTTGGATTTTGAACCGAGTTTACATTTTACAGCTAAAGCTACGAAACCAGATGTTTTAAAGCTATGAGATTGAATGCTGCTTTAGGAAATACGCCATGCAAATATGTGATTTTGTGGAAGGCATTTTGTTTTAACAGTCTGACGCATAAATATATTTTTAAGATTCTCCTGGGACAGTTTTTTTTTTCGGATAAAATTACAGATTTTCTATGGAGGCTAAAATGAAACAAACAATAAATCTGCTTTCGATGATGTTTTTTATATGAATATTAATAGTTTTTTTTTGGCGCCTGGTCTCAGACGAGTACCGTTTTGATAACGTCACACCTTTGAGGCAAAAATCCCATTTGAAAGTGAATAATACTTTTTTTCAGCTTGTTCAGAACAATTCATATATATTTTTTTTATCTTGTCAATCTTCCTCCGTGCAGGAACAACAGTAATATAATGTTCCCTGCTACAAGTAACACGTTCCAAAAAGTGGAATTGTTTTTTAAATCCACCAACATAATTTGTCAATAGGAAAATCATGTATTAATATACATATTACTTGTATTAATTATCAGAAAAGTCTTTAATAAGGTTGTTGTTGAAATCCTAGTGTGTACTTAAACTTATATTGTTTGTTGTTTCTAAAGTTATTATTGTCTGGTTTAGTACCGACACAGTTAGTTTGAGCAAATAAAGTACCTGCGTTTCTCAACCCAGCGTGTCCTATACAACGACAGTAGTGTTCCTGAATCTTATTGTTGCCTGGATATTGCATCGGGATGCTCAATCACCCAGATGTTTCAGTTGTAGTAGGTCTTCAGCAACCCATGTTTGCCGTAAAAGGCGACTATACTTGTCGTAAAAGGCGACTAACGGGATCGGGTGGTCAGGCTCGCTGACTTGGTTGATGCATGTCATCGATCCCAACTGCGTGGATCGATGCTCATGATGTCAATCACTGGATTGTCTGGTCCAGACTCGAATATTTACAGACCGCCTTCATATAGCTGGAATATTGCTGCGTGGCGTTAAACAACAAACAAACAAACAAAGTTGTAGTCATAACAATTACAATGTACTCAGATCTATGGTTATAGTATCAGGATCGATACCCATGAGGTTCCTCTCATAGACTATCTACACCCCCGGGTGATTGACATCATGAGCATCGATCCACGCAATTGGGATCGATGACATGCATCAACCAAGTCAGCGAGCCTGACCACCCGATTCCGTTAGTCGCCTTTTACGACAAGCATAGTCGCCTTTTACGGCAAGAATGGGTTGCTGAAGACCTATTCTAACCCGGCACCTTGATATAGCTGGAATACTGGTGACTATGAGAATAAATAACACTCACTCACTCCAAATAGGATGGGCTGTGCATATCCAATCTTTGTCTTAATTTTGCACTGTAAGAAAAATAACTTCCATTACAAATATACATATTATTTTTGATATTGGTTTCCCAAAAGCAGCCTTCCAGATTTGGGAAAATACACCGAACCATTTTGCACAAAAACAGTTTCTTTAACGTACAAACTTCATCCTTTCTTCCTTTGATATTATGGCATATGTACCCAAATCTTTATTACGGTCAATACAACCTTATGTACACTTGTTTGTCACTGGTCTACGAACAGCCATCTGCCGTGCGTAGATTTTCTGTTTGACAGTCGGCGTTCGAGCATATTGCAAACTTTCAAACTAATTATGAAGATAGATTTTCCGTCATGGGTATAGTGATTTCTGAGTGACAAATAGACATGTCTGTTGTATTGCCTATATTGACATCATATAAAGTTGAACAAAATCAATGATGCAATATGTATGTGCTATTGAAAAATGCCGTTTTCGTTTGGAAAGAAATTGATGACGTGATTCTTGTGGCAGGAAGGCAAGGAATGAGACACTGGTTAAACACGAAGATCGAAGGATACTGTTTTGAAAGAGCTGCAGGAAAGATGAACTTAAAGAAATCGAAGTTAATGGGAGGTCACATGAAGGTGATGATTAAAGAATTTCGACATCCCTCGTTATCGTATCACAACCACTACAGCAGAACATCACGTCAGTGGTTTCACATTGTAAACACGCATGAACGCTGTGCAGGAAATCAGGTTGGTTGGTTTGTTGTTTAACGCCACTCACCAATATTCCAGCTATATGACGGCGGTCTGGACCAGACAGTCCATTGATTAATATCATGAGCATCAATCCACGCAATTGGGATCGATGTCATACATCAACCAAGTCAGCGAGCCTGACCACCCGATCCCGTTAGTCGCCTCTTACGACAAGCATAGTCACCTTTTATGGCAAGCATGGGTTGCTGAAGACCTAGTCTATCCCGGAATCTTCACCGGTCACAGGAAAGCAGGTCGATTGTTGATGTGACTGAATTCTCTTGAAAACCGATGCATTATGCTTATATTATTTCCTGTACACACTTCATATGGAAATAGTACATCGTTATTGGCAATTCCCAAATTGTAACAATGTTAACCCAGAAATCTTTACGTAAAATTACTTAGTGTGAAACCAATAAACAACCAACAATTGGTATCTAATCAACAATTGTATACACAATTAACTAGGTTTAAAAATCAATACAAATTACTGAACAGCAATTACAATAACAGTATGCAATAATCAAACTGCAGTATCAAATACAAAATATGATTGCAGTGGTGATGTCAAAATGATCAGTGATAATGATATTCACCTATCAAAATATCTTTCAAAATAGGCCAAGGCTGGACACCAGAGTGAAAGGTGATCATCTCATGAAAGCTGGTCTTGAAGTAATGTCAGATGAAATGAGATAACACGCACGCGCCCGCTCCACTTATAATAAGTTTAACTAGCTTCCAGCACT